GTCTAGATTTTCACTAATCAAACCAAAGTATTACGGGCAGCACAACTTTCTTACTGACAGCAAAGGAAATGCCACTAATGAGAAGTCATTCTCCACCCTTGTACTAGAGTGTGAAACAAAAAACCATTCATAAGAAATATATCATTCTTTGTTGATACTCTTTAACCTTTATATATTATATATATATATATAATATTATAATATATATATATATATTTTTTTTAAGAATACTACAATGAGAATTCGTAATGACGCCCCAAAACACACACACACACCACCCATCCAGGCTCAACCTACTAATATCCGAGGACTTATATGTTTATAAGGTTTAACCAGCAGCTACGACACACAACTACACCCAAATCACTGTTTAGAGCTGTTTTTTACTTGTTATATTTCGTATGTCAAACTTTTTCTTTTACTTTTTTTCGTTTATTTGTAACCTTTATAATATAACCTCTAAAGCTATGATTTCGCTCTGTTATTCTGTATCTTTGGTTCATTGAGTATAATGATGTTCCTCACAACTTAAGTCTTTTTTATACACGCACACATGCGTACAAACGCTACATACATACATTCATAAACACGTGTGTGTGTGTGTGTGTGTGTGTGTGTGTGTGTGTGTGTGTGTGTGTGTGTGTGTGTGTGTGTGTGTGTGTGTGTGAAATAAATTCTTAAGGAAAAGTGATATATATACATGGATGGATAGATAGATAGAAGTACATGCGGATGTAGATGTGTGTGTCTCTTTATGTATAAATATAGATAGATAGGTTGATACATTAATAGACAGATAGATTAAAAAATAACTCGTGTACTATATATGCAGTGGTCACTAGAGAAACTGCGAAGTACCACAAATGCTTGCTTTAATTTGCTGAATCACCGACTCACCTGTTGTCGCTGGTTTGATATCTAATAGATCTTGTATAATGCAGAACGTTTATTTATTTATTTATTTATTTATTGTTCAGACAGTGGTCGATATCTAATATATTTTGCATAATACAGATAGTTTTTCCTTTCTTTCTTTCTTTATTTATTTGCCCAGTCGTTGGTTTGATATCTAATAAGTCGTATAATACAAATCATTTTTTCTTTTTTTCTTTCTTTAGTTAGTTACTCTACCAGTCGGTGGTTTGGTATTTAATAAATATTTTATAATGCAGATTGTCTTTTCTTTATCTATTTATTTATTAATTTATCTGACCAGTCGGTGGTTTGGTATTTAATAAATCTTGTATAATACAAAATCGTTTTTTTTTCTTTTATTCTTTATTTGTTTGACCAGTCGTTGGTTTGATATCTAATAAATCTTGAATAACAAAGATCGGTTTTTCTATATTTCTTTATTTGTTTGTCCAGCCATTGGTCTTGTATAATACAGATCGTTTTTTCTTTCGTCCATTTAACCTGTCGCTACGTAATAAATCTTGTATAACAAAGATCATTTTTATTTTTTAAATTTCTTTCTTTGATGCCTATAGATCCCGTTTCCGGTTGGTGGAGGTCCTATCTTCTCTTTTCTCTCTCTCTCTCTCTCTTCTTCGCTCTTTCTTCTCTCTCTCTCTCTCTCTCTCTCAATGATTCTCTTTTTTTCCTTTAAATTCACTTTCTGGTTTTGAAACTATATCTTAAAAATTCCAATAAATTTATGTATAATATATATATATATATATATATATATATATATATATAATATATTTTTTTTTTTTTTTTTTTTTTTTTTTTTTTCTTATAAATTTATCCTTTTACCAGTCGCGTCATAAAGAACTATCCAAGAAACAGCAGAAACATTTAACAGCTTCCCCTTGAAAGCCCTTTTAAAGTCTGCAAAGTTATGACAAGGAGACTTTATATAATGAAAAAGCGAGTGTGCTTTCTAGTGTAAATTTTGCTCGTCACTTACGAAGAGGATCGTTGCGCCAAACATTCATTCATTTAGATCTACATCATTCATTATCATTCATTCTTTGTTTTTCATTATTTTGATAAGTTCGTCAGAAGATCGTAACAGCAAACCTTCGTCATTCATTTTTCTACATTATTCATGCATATTCATTCTTATTCCTATTATCATAATGTTTATTATTCACTTCTCGACAGGTCTGTAAGCTATTAACACATATTGCACAAAGTAGATGAGCATAAACAGTAACGAGTACACACACACACACACACACACAAATCATTAAACTAAACGTTACCCCAAGGTAGATAAGTGCACTAATACTACTTCTTGAATGATAGGAGGGTGTAGCCGGGTGTATGTCCCAACGTAATAACGTAATTGTTTGTCTAAGTTAAGTTTATAATCATGATTTGGCAATATGTATGCCACTCCCTTGTTGAAGCTATATTGTTTCCAGGCGCCTGATATATTATATATATATATATATATATATATATATATATATATATATATATGTAGTATGGTATGTGTGTGTGTGTGTATGTGTGTGTATGTTTATACATATGTATATATATACATATATAA